TTACCTTCAACTCCCTCTCTAGTCTTATCAACAAGAAGAATATCATCAGCAAAAAGCATACACCAAGGTACATCCTCTTGCAAATGTCTAGTGAGAACATCCATGACTAAAGTAAAAAGATATGGGCTTAAGGCTGATCCTTGATGTAACCCAACCGAAATAGGGAAATACTTGGTCAATCCACCTTGTGTTTGAACACAAGTAATAGCTCCTGCATACATATCTTTAATGATTTGAATATAAGCATTATTGACTCCTTTCTTTTTAAGAACTCTCCATAGCACTTCTCTTGGAACTTTATCATATGCTTTTTCTAAATCAATAAATATCATATGTAGATCCTCCTTATTTTCTCTATATTTCTCCATCAAACCTCTTAATAAATGTATGGCTTCCATAGTCGACCTACCCGGCATGAATCCAAATTGATTTTGAGAAACATTAGTATCACGCCGCAACCTATGCTCCATAACTCGCTCCCATAGTTTTAAAGTATGACACATTAACTTAATACCTCTATAATTCGCACAATCTTGTGCATCACCTTTATTCTTAAAAATAGGAATTAACATACTCATTCTCCACTCATCTGGCATCTTTTTAGTCTTCAAAATAGTATTAAAAAGTTTAGTAAGCCATGAAATTCCTTCATCTCCTAAGCATTTCCACACCTTTATTGGAATATCATCAGGTCCAACAGCTTTTCCACCCTTCATTTTCTTTAAAGCCTCTTTAACTTCAGTTTTACTAATACGCCGATAAAAACATAAATCTTTATTTTCATCTAGGGTGCTAAGGTCACTATAGTCAATCTTATTTTCACAATCTTCATTAAAAAGTTTAGCAAAATATCTCATCCATCTTTGTTGAATATCATCTTCTAAGAAAAGTATTTTTTGATCTTCATCTTTAATACACTTCACTTGAACTAAATCCTTACTACTCCTATCTCTTTGTTTGGCTAACTTATACATATATCTTTCTCCCTCTTTAGTATCTAATCTATTATATAAATCACTAAAAGCTAATGCCTTTGCATCGCATATTGCTTTCTTAGCATCCTTACGAGCAACTTTATATATTTCCCAATTATCAGAATTTTTAAAATTAAACCAATTTTTATAACAAAGCTTCTTATTTTTAATTTTTTCTTGCACATTAGGATTCCACCACCAACTATTTTTACTATTAGGAGCTTTTCCCTTTGATACTCCAAGGACATCTTTTGCAATATTCTTAATATCACTAGCCACTTTTTCCCACATAATATTAGCATCCTCATGCACAGACAAAATCTTAAGATCTAAAATCTTATCTCCAAAAATATTTTTGTTAATATTCTTTAAATTCCCCCATTTAATCCTAGAAAATTGTTTTACTTTATTTTTTATTTTATGCCCCTTTATCTTAAAGTCCAAAACTAATAATCGATGTTGGGTACATAAATTTTAACTCGGAATAACTTTACAATCTTTGCAATCTAAACGATTTAATTTTTTAATAAGAAAATAGTCAATCTGGGTTATACTATATCCATTTTTATAAGTGATGAGATGCTCATTCTTTTTCTTAAATAAGGTATTAGCAATTGAAAAATCATAAGCTAAACAAAAATCCAATATGGTATTACCACCTTCATTCGTTGTTCCAAATCCATGGCCACCATGAATGCTTTTAAAATCATCTACCTCTCTACCAACATGTCCATTTAAATCTCCTCAAATAAAAACTCTTTCTTCAAGAGGTATCTTTTGTATTAATTAAGTCATTCCAAAATTTAATTTAGAACTCATATCCAAACCTACTTGAGGAGCATAAGCACTTATAATATTAACGATCTTATCATTAATAATAATCTTTAAAGGTATAATTCTATCTCCAATCCTATTAATTTTTATAACATTATCCTTTAAACTATTATTTATAATAACACCTACACCATTTCTATTACGACTCCTACCCGAATACCAAAGTTTAAATCCTAAACTATCAATTTCCTTAGCATTCTCTCCAACCCATTTAGTTTCCTGAATGCACAAAATATTTAACTTCATATGAATTATAATATCTATTAATTCCATTAATTTTCCTGTAAGGGAACCTATATTCCAAGTTCCAATCCTAATTTTAGTTTCATGGACTAGCTTTTTTGCCCACATCCGTCCTTGATATGAGAACCCTTGCCTATTTAACACTGCACCCGGGCGCGGGTGCAGTGGCCCTTGCACACTTGTCACTGTATTCAGGCCATACAACGCGTCGCTTCCAGTAGACGCCATAACATTAACACAATTTCTTAAAGGATTCATGTCATTATCATAAAATTCACATATAGTAGTAGAATCTATAAACACTAAAATACTACAATACGGAAGTTTGTAAAGCAGTAAACTAGTACGAGTATCAAATTTATAAAGCAATTGTCATATTCGTAATGCAAATCAGTAAAGAAATAAGATAAAGCTTTGAATCAAAATATTGGTAAAGACAGTTGAAATCAAATCAATGTAGTAAAATCATATAAGAGTGTTCACATGCTATTCAGTTATTATCTATCAGCATTAAATCAGTATCTCAATCTCAAGCTCAATATATCAATCACATGCTCAATAATTCTATACATTACGTGCTCAATATATCACATGCTCAGTATCAGATAATATCAGTAACAATAATAATTCAGTGGCAGAAATAGTAGAATAATGCAATAACAATAAATTCGTGCAAGGACAATAAATCCGTACAATATAAGAATAATGCCTCAAAACATGTATTGCAGTAGTCACGTTAAACAAGTAGAAGTCTTGACTATCACGGTATTTTTCAGTGTTAGTAAACCGTTGACTCAGTAAATAGAATCGTCACTCTTTGCGCCTCGGCACAGTAGTAATTTCCTTATAACTCCCAATCAATCTATCATGTGAATTAATAGAAGATAATATCAAACCACATCATTTAAAGGAAAGCCCGTCGGCGCACTATCCTATACAGGTCAATCAGTCTCCAACCAACGGGTTAACCAGACTTTACTTATTTGTTTCACACACACATATTATTATCATGATACTATAACAGTAATAACGACCAGTTATTACTCAAGCACATATCAACATATATTTTCAATACATTGCAGCAAATAATTCATAATTGAGCTTTATTATGAAGATGCAAAAATATCATAATGGTAGACAATAAAAATCATATTAGGCAAAAATGCACAATTTCAAAAAATATTCAAAATACTAGGAATTGTATAAAATGATATTTTAAGACTTTTCTTGTATTACATTATTTTTAAGGTCTAAATATATTTCGGATAAGACAAAAATTGCTATATTTTCAAAATCATTTGGTGAAAATCTCAAATAAATATTCAAAATATTCATAATCATGATCTCTATAAAATACAAAAAGTTACGTGGTGAAAATTTTGCCAATATAAAGTTATTCACATTTTTCGTTAACGGAAACACAATTTGATCAGAAAAATGTTAAAAACACAAAATTTTAGAAATCAAAATTAGGGTATGGATTCCTTACAGCAAGTCGAGCAATTATCCCAACTGATCTGACGGACGAAAATCACACCGCGGCCTTCAAATCCTAGGTTTTCCTTCTTTCTCTTTCCTCACATTCCTCTCTCTCTCTCTAAAACGCTCTGTTGCCGAAATGCTTTAAGGAAATCATGTTTTAATAAAGTTTTATAATGACATCAAATATTTTAATAAAATAATATTATAATATTAATATAATATTTAATTTAATTAATTCTTTAGTTTAAAGTTCATATAAATCATTTCAGTAATTTAAAAATTACAAAAAAATATCCATAAAATAAAACATATTATTTAAAAAATATTGGTGAAATCGGTTTGCAAAATGGACACCTGACAATCTCGAAATCCTAACTTGTACCGACATGTACCAATTCCTCAAGGATTTTCACCGGTGTCCAAAAATTATAAAAAAATTAGTGTAAGTAAAATACTTCAATCAAAATACCATGGCAAAGACGGATTGCACTTTGGAGTTATAATGACTCCAGAAAAAAAAAAAAAAATAGCAAAACCAAAATACGAGCTATTATATGCCGTTACCCATGCATGGCGCAAACAGCGCCGTATGTGCGCCGCGTCATGTGCTATTGTACGCTCCATTTTGCACCATTGACATGTATGAGTTTGTTGGGTTTGTCTTGTTGAGACGCTTGATTCAATTATAAGCATGCGAGATTTTAAGATTTTTTGTTCTTCTAATTAATATTAATTGGAAGGTTTAAAAAAATTCATTTTGGTTTTTAATGTGGTATTTTTTTAAAGGTTAAATGACATTTTCAATCTTGCATAAGCACTTCATGAGGCTACTGCAAATGCATAGTTTGGAGTGGGATTGGTGTACGCTCTCTTACTAATGTAGAACATAAGCATGAGCGAATTATATTGACAACAACTATTTGTTATTTAAATTTTATAATTCTTATTATGAGAAGTATAATTATAAATTATTGTGAGAATGTATTTTTTTATTATCCTAAATTCTTTCAATTTCCATTAAATATGCATGGGACGGCCGAAGGAATAACACGAGGCATTTGCCAATTTATAACCCAAAATTTGGGGCTTCACTTATTTGGATGACTTCAGGTAATTGCTTTTTAACAAAATTAAAAAAAAAGGGATATAGAAATCATCTCGTCTTCCCTGTGCTTTCTTAGCCCACCCCAATCCAACTTTGTAAAAGGAAAAGTGTGCCTCATAAGTTCTATTTTGGTTTTAACAATCAATCTTTGATTTTTTTCTTAATGTGTTAATTTTTATCTTCTGCTATATATTCGGCCTAAGATTCTTTTTTTCACTTTAATTGTAACCAAGTCTTAAAATTACTTTTTAACATTCTGAAATGAGCCTGATATTGATTTAATTTGTATTTTGGCGGATCTTGCATTTTTCATCAACGTTCATGGTTGTGGGGACTTGATTTCGATACTTAACTTTGTGCAGTTAGTCTTAGCGAGCGTGATACTTCAGCATCTGCTGTCATTGGAACTACATTCAGTATTTCCCCAACAACAGTAAAATCTGTTTCCATGAGGGATATGGGCACTGAAATGACCCCCATTGCTAGCCAAGAGCCCTCTCAAACTGGAACTCCCGTGAGAGCAACAACACCTACAAGGAGCCCAACTTCTTCCAGACCATCTACACCCCCAAGAACTGCAACTACAATTGAATCTGCTGATTTCAATAGGGATAAAGCATTGTCTGAAAAGGAGCTAAGAATCAGAACTAGAAGGGAGATAATGGTACTTGGAACACAGTTGGGTAAGATGAACATTACTGCCTGGGCGAGCAAGGAGGAAGAAGAAACAGATGCATCTGCCACCTTGAATATGAATTCAGTAGACCAGCAATCCAAGAATGTTGTAGAGGCTCGTGCTGCAGCTTGGGAAGAGGCTGAAAAGGCCAAATATTTAGCCAGGTATACAAAAGAACTCGGTTTGCCATTTATGATGCTCTAATCTTAATTCAGTGGTCTTGGTAGCTGCCCAAGTTCACACTCCTATTGCAAGTAACAGTTGTTATCATGTATTGTAATACAAATTCATCATGAACATATATTTTTTAGGTTTAAACGGGAAGAAATCAAAATTGACGCTTGGGAAAACCATCAGAAAGCAAAAACTGAAGCTGAAATGAGAAAAGTTGAGGTACTTATTGGATTTTCTGAAATTGAATTGCTTCTCTATGCAAAGTATGCATCAGTTTAGTATTTTATTAGGCTTTATTTGGTAGGCACTTGCCGCGATTCAATTAGTGATATTAGACATTTTGAATGGGTATGTTGCAGCCAGTGTTGTAAAAGCACTATTGAAAGCGTGCTATAAGAGTGAAGTGAAGCAATTCATTGATTCTGCACATTACTTAATTGTGAAGTGCAAGCTCACCGATATACACCTCTTCATTAAACCACATTATAGCGTTGTGCCGTCAATTCTTGCTCAAAGTGAAATTCTAATTTAGTTTTTATGGTTCGATTCAGTATTTAGCACAATAACTAGTTATCGTTTGTTTCTCCTCGCTTTTTTGGTAGTCATCAATGTTAATCTACAAGCACAGAGATAAACCAAGCACACCAAAGAGAGAAAGAACACGAAATACTTTTTTGCTTTATTTCATAACAGGTGACACGTATTTATACTAAAGTCTCTATACAAGAACAGTTGAGTGCCTATTGTTTGTACAGTCCAGGATGGCATTTAACCGTTTGTCTGGTGGGTCATACGCGGATCGTTCCAGAGTTGTGTTATCTGCTAACAATCAAGTCATTACTCATTAGTTCTCTCATTGGAGCTAGTCACTTCGTGGTGCTTCTTCACTTCATGCTCAATCCCTCGCTATTTTATAAACGTTTTTACTGGTGCTAGGAGCTTCTTGCTCACAATCTTCTTCTTGAAAATGCTTCTCAGTTCCATATCTTCATTCTTTCTCACTTAGGATTCTGCTTCTTAATTTCTAGTTGGTCGCTTAATCTTAAGAATATAATATTGATTTTTAAGTACTATTATTATGAACAGAGAAGAATAGAATTGTATTGTCTAATCAAGTTGCATGCATAAGTGGATGTAGTAGGAGTATATATAGACAAGTCGAGAGTCCTAATTCTAGATACAGGTATATAAGCAGGTATTTAAGTAGTTGTACATGTGTCCTTTATTATACCCCCGCAAGCTAATGGACCGGAATGGACAATAAGCTTGTCACGAAGCCAATGATATCTTTTGGTCGAGAGCGGTTTGGTGAAGATATCTGCTATTTGATCTTTGGTAGAAACTGGAAAGTTGTTGACTTTTTGCGACAGAATGTGACCACGAATGAAGTGATGATCGATTTCAATATGCTTCATTCGTGCATGGAAGACATGATTGTTGGCGAGTGCTATAGCAGACATACTATCACAGTGTAGGCTTGTAGGAGAGGTGAGTTGAATATTGAAGTCGAGCAGAAGTCTTCTCAACCAGATAATGTCAGTAAGAGCTGATGCTATGGCCATGTACTCAGCTTCTGTTGAGGAGTAAGCTACTGTATGCTGCTTTTTGACACTCCAAGAGATGAGTGTTGCCCAAGAAGGTGCAGTAGCCGGATATTTCCTTGTTGCCTTGTCACCTGCTCAGTCTGCATCTGAGAATGATTTTAGCTCCAGTGTACCCTACAAAATAGGAAGGCCAAATGAAAGCGTGCCATAGATGTATCTTAATAAGCGATGAAGTAAATAGAAGTGATGAGAGGTTAGATTGTGGAGGTTAGATTGTGCATATTTTGACAAAGTAAATTGACCACATTGGAGATGTCTGGCCTTGTTAATGTGAGGCATTGCAAAGAGCCCGTGATCTGTCTGTATAGCTTAGGATCGGTCAGCAGGTTTGCTGTAGGAGTCTGGAACCTTGGTACAAGACGGGTTGGACAGTGCTTTGCTTTTGCTCATGCCAGCCAGCTTAAGAATTGAAGTGGCGTAATTTGTTTGAGATAGGAAATAGGATTTATTATCCGTCTTAAGTTGAATTACCAAGAAGTTTTTGGTAAGACCGAGATGTTTCATGGAGAACCGATTGTTCAGCTGAGAGATGATTTAGCGGTCATGGAAGAGTTATTGCCTGTTAAAAGTATGTCATCCACATAGATAGCTATATAGATATGAATATTATCTTTGTGAAGAACAAAGAGAGATGAATCTGCTTTCCCATGAGAAAAACCGTGTGTATAGGTATGTGGAAAAAAAGTTGAATCACTGCCGATGTGCTTGTTTGAGGCTGTAGATCGCTTTCTTGAGACATGATCGGGATGAATCTCATCTTCAAAGCCTTTTAGTTGTCTCATGTAGATGATTTTGTCAAGATTGCCATGTAAGAAGGCGTTTGTTACATCCATTTGATGTACATGCCATTTGTTAGTAGGAGCAATCGTAAGAAGAACTCTTATAGTAGGAAATTTAGCTATAGGACTGAAAGTCTCCAAATAACTGATTCCATATTGTTGGTTATTGCCTTGTGCGACTAATCGAGCTTTAAACCTTGCAATGGTACCGTCAGAGTTGTATTTTGTTCTGAAAGTCCAACGGATGCCAAGTATAGATGTATCCGGAGGAGGTGGTACCAACTGCCATGTACCTTGACGTTGTAAAGCATATAATTCATCTACCATGACTTTTCTCCCCTGAGAATATTTGCTTGCTTCATGGTCATTATTGGGTTCAGACGGCGGAGGTTCAGACGGTGGAGAGACTTGAGAATGGTTTTGAATGTGGAGCAGGTTGAGTTTTTGACTTGGTTTGAGAGAACCAGTTTTAAGTCTTGTAGTCATGGGATGGCCCGAAGTAGGTGGTTGAACGGCTAGGGATTGAATCAAGATTGAAGGAATTTTGGAAGATGGAATAATAGTGTGAGAGTTTGACAATTCAGTTGAGGAAATGGAATTTGTTGTTGCTGAGTATTGCTGATTTGTTGGCCGAGAAGTAGGAGTGTGTTTGACAGATTTATTAAGTTGATTTTGATGGTATGTGGTAGGGTGAGAAACAAGGAGAGATGAAGGAAGGGATGTAGAATTCTGTGGTAACTATGACGAGATGTGTTGTTGGAATGGAAAACAGGTTTCATCAAAGACTACATGTCTTGAAATGAATATTTTGTTGTTTGTGGGATCAAGACACTTGTAGCCTTTTTAGATGCTTGAGTACCCAAGAAAGACACATGGCCGAAAGCGAGATTCAAGCTTGTGCCTTTTAGTTGGGGGGATCCAGGGAAAACAAGCGCATCCAAAGATTTTGAGGAAGGCATAATCAGGTAATTTGTGAAAAAGAAGATAAAGAGGTTAAGTGAAATTAGTTGTGGAAGAAGGTAGGCGATTAATGTGATATGATGCTATAAGAACAACATCAGGCCAAAATGAGTGGGGAAGTGAGGCACTGTGCAATAGAGTGCGAGTGGTCTCTATTAGGTGTTTATGTTTGAGCTCCACCAAACCGTTTTGCTCTAGCATATAGGGACAAGAAGTTTGATGTTGAATACCCTGTTGAGTGAGAAAGTTTCTGAAGGTAGAGTTCACATATTCAGTGCCTCCGTCAGATCGCAAACATTTATTAATCTGAAAATTGGTTTGTTTTTCCACAAAATGTTTAAATTCAAGAAAAATATAAAAAACTTCAGATTTATGTCGCATGGAAAAAACCCAAGTAAAACGCGAGAAATCGTCTATGAAAACCACGTAATATAGGAAACTTTGATGTGAAAGTACCGGGGAAAGACCCCAAACATTTGAATGAATAACATCTAATGAAAAACATGCTCTATCAGACGAAATACAAAACGTAAGTTTGTGGCCTTTAGAGGTTTTACAGCTAGAGCAAAATGAAGAATTAGTAGGTATACACAAAGATTTATTAGTGGTAGAAACTAAATGAACAATTTGAGCGTTCGGATGGCCTAGTCTTTGATGCCATATAGACGAGTCTTGATGCTTAGCAGCAAGTGCAGTCCTGGAGGAAGGAGCAGTCGAGCGAACAGGGTAGAGACCTTTGCTACTTGGGCTCGATAGCAGAGTTCGACTTGTTTTCAAGTCCTTAATAACAAAACCATGTGAGTCAAAACAAACTGATACATTATTATCTTGAGTTAGATTCAAAATGGATAAAAGATTATGAGATGGTTTTGGAACGTGAAGAAGAGGATGGAGTTTAAGCTTACTGTACGATGTTGGCAGAATACCATTGCCTGAGTGAGTAATAGGTAAGGATCTGCCATCACCAATAGTGATATTGTCGGACCCATTGTAAGAGCTGGCTTGAGAAAGGTTATCTAGGGAATTTGTAAGATGTGTCGAAGCACCCTAGTCTAGGTATCAGTCTGCATTGGAGTTATCATTCGCAACTACCAGGGCATGAGATGAGGGCTATGGAGCTTGTGTTTCCGGAGGATTAACAATAATGTTGAGACGCTGCCAACAATTGTTGGCAGAATGACCTCGTTTACTACAAATTTGACACTGAATGCTAGTGTGTTGATTCGTTCTTGACGATTGAGTTGAGGTTCTTCCGCGAACTAGTCGTCCCCTGCCCCTGTAGGAATACAACGTTGTAGACGAATCGACTACAGAGACAGTTCGAAGAGATTCAGCTTGAATATTAATTTCTTCGTTGATTAACAATGAGTAAAGGTTGTCCAGATCGATTGGATTTAATATCATGCTAATGGAGGTCTTGAAAGCATTATATGATGGTGGTAGACCATTGAGCGTATAGAGAATTATGTCTTCTTGATCAATAACCACCCCCGCAGCAGCCATGTTGTCCACGATGGTTTTGATCTGCGTGAGATATTGCGACATTGTCTGATTCTCCATTTAAACATTGTGCAATTTATTTTTCAGCTGTATGACACGCGATCTGTTGGAGGATTGAAGCCTTCGTTCGATTGTTGTCCAAATGGCAGAGGTAGATTCAAGATGAATGATGTAGGGCAGAATTTCCAGTGAAAGCGTAGAGCACAGTGCCGTCGCTAGATTTTGATCGACAAGAACCCATTCTTGGTATTTGGGGTTGAGTTCTTTGCTGCAGTCCGGAAGATCTGTGTAGCGAGCATGAGTGGAAGCCGACGGAAGAAGAGAAGAGGCGAAACCATTGGCATTGAATAGTTTAAGAATTTGAGGTCTCCATACC